ATATATATATATATATATATATATATATAATTTATTATAAATTTTAATTATATATAATAAGCATGTATATGGACATTATATATATTAAAATACTATTTTATAGAACTACATGCCTCTCTTAGACTTTACAATAGTACTTAACTTGCCAAATTATACAGAGCCAACACCACTGGTTGAAAAAGACATGTACTCAACATAGTTAAAAAGTCAAGAGAGCCAAGAAACGTGTGAAATTCTAAAGACATGACTGAGTCATAGGATACGCAACTTCTTAGAAAGTAGAAACATACATGACATAGACAGTGCCAACATATACTTGAATATTAATTTATAAATTTTTCTCTAAGAATTTAAACATTTTGATCAATTATATATATTTATATGTACTGTACAATTCTGGTCTAGTTATTCTCTGTGCATCCAAAAAGGTCTTGTATTGATGTAAAGAATCAGTGTATTCTTCTTGGTTGCAAGAAGTTGGATTGGGTCTGTGGTAAGTTTTTTTCTTTCCTTTTTTTAAATTTTTACTTTCAAATGGAAATAACAGAAGATGAAATGTATTGGCTCTTATAAATTCTTCTTGTTTTCCTATGTTTTATGTGAAAGAGGTATAGGTGATGTGAATGGAGACTGAGAAAATAGATTATGGACTTCAATAATTAGTGGTTGTGTTGTTGTCTAAAATGAAAACTAACTTGCTCTTTGAAGAAAAAGAAAAAAAAAGGGTACATATTTAGGGGTTAGGGTCAAGCTCCCTTTGGATGTTTCCATTCTTTTAATAAAGTTAACAATAGTTCCAAGAGCAGGACATTCTAATTGTTATTCAGATTGATCATCTACAATTTTTATTTTTAATTTATGGTAGACCTACTTTAAATTATCTAATTAGATTTCTGAATTGCAGCTGATATGTTTGTTTGTTATTTTTTTAATCTAATAGTGTTGAGCATGTTTTAAGTGGTTAGTTGTAGAAAATATGCAAATTCCTTGACTTATTGTTTGCTGCCACATGCATGACTGTCTATGTTGTTAAGAAAATTTTTGCAGATTTAAGTTCTTTTCCATTTGATATCAATGATGTTTAAGCTCATGTTATGTTTGATTGACTATCAGATTTCCCAAGTCCAAAGCAAGCGACTAGTAAACTTCCAATCCAAGGTTCACAAAACCTTAACATCACACTTGCAATTAGGTAATTGTTTATTTATTCCTCCCTTGGTGGGTAAGGGTATAAAATTTAAACTGTTGGATCTAATATTATTCAGATTTTGATTTAATATTGGACTAATTGTTAAATTTCAATGTCTAAGAGTAAGGACAAGTGCCAACAATGCATTGAAACTTCAAAGCTTTTTCTTATTATTATTTCTTCAAGTGTAGTGTTATAAGCATTGCAGGTACAGCACTTGGAATTCATAATGGTTGAACAACAGACGATCAGTGAAGTTGCTTCTTCTTCCATGGTATCTTCTAAAAAATATGATGTTTTCATAAGCTTTCGAGGTGAGGACACACGCAAGAATTTCACAAGTCATCTTTATGAAGCATTGAAGCAAAAGAAGATTGAAACCTACATAGACTACCACCTTGAAAAGGGAGACGAAATCTCTACAGCACTCATTGAAGCCATTGAAAATTCTCATATATCTATTGTCATTTTCTCAGAGAACTATGCTTCCTCAAAATGGTGCTTGAGTGAACTCAGCAAGATTTTGGAGTGCAAGAAAGAAAAAGGACAGATAGTGATACCAGTGTTTTACAACTTAGATCCATCCCATGTGAGGAAGCAGACTGGGAGCTATGAGCAAGCCTTTGGAAAACATAAGGGAGAACCCAGATGCAGCAAATGGAAAGCTGCTCTCACTGAAGCAGCCAATTTAGTTGCATGGGACTCTCAAGCTTATAGGTACATAAAATGACTGAGTGAGTAAAATTGAATTGTCCAAATTTGATTCTAAAAAAATAAAGCTGTGATTATCTTGTTTAAGTTTGTTGAAGAACAAACTTCATCTTAAAATCCAGTCTTGTAAGGTTAAATTGAGCTAATAACCTATTTTCTTAATATGGTATTAGAGTTTATCCTAATAATTTTTTTTTAGTTTAAACAAACCTCACCTTACAAATTGCTTTTATAAGATTAAGTTAGGTAAAATCTATTTTCTTAAGAAAGTCATTGAACTTTCATTCTCTAATTTTTTTCTCTCTCCTACACTACCATGTTGATCATAGATTATGTATAACCATTTTTGTAGTTCTATTTATTTTTTCTTTTGAATTTGTTAGACTTATAATGAACACGTCATTTATTTATTTTTTTTGTTTCCCTTTTCATACACAAGGACTGAATCTGAACTCCTTAAGGATATTGTTGATGATGTTTTGGGAAAATTGGCGCCTAGATACCCAAACAACCATAAAGGACTGGTTGGAATTGGGGAAAATTATGAAAAGATTGAGTCATTACTAAAAATTGGGTCAAGTGAAGTTAGAATCCTGGGATTATGGGGCATGGGTGGCATAGGTAAGACCACTCTCGCTAGTGCTTTATATGACAAACTGTCTCATGAGTTTGAAGGTCGTTGCTTCCTCACAAATGTGAGGGAAGAATCGGATAAGCATGGACTCAAAGCCTTACGTAATAAACTTTTTTCTGAGTTATTAGAGATTAAAAAGCCTTGTTTTGATGTACCCTTTTTAGTATCCGATTTTGTTTTGAGTAGGCTTGGACGCAAAAAAGTTTTCATTGTCTTGGATGATGTGGCTACCTCAGAGCAATTAGAAAATCTAATTGAAGATTTTGATTTCTTAGGACTTGGAAGTAAGGTGGTTGTTACAACTAGAAATAAGCAGATATTTAGCAAAGTTGATAAAATATATAAGGTCAAGGAATTGAGCTTTTATCACTCTTTTCAACTTTTCTGTTTGACTTCTTTTAGAGAAAAACTGCCTAAACATGGATATGAAGATGTATCAAGAAGTGCAATTTCCTATTGCAAAGGTATTCCTTTGGCTTTAAAAGTTCTTGGTGCAAGTCTTCGTTCAAGAAGTAAAGAAGCATGGGAATGTGAATTGAAGAAACTCCAAAAGTTTCCAAATACGAAAATTCATAGTGTATTAAAATTAAGTTATGATAGCTTAGATCATTTTCAGAAGGAAATATTTCTAGATATTGCATGCTTCTTCAGAGGAAAACAAAGAGATCGTGTGACAAGCATATTGGAAGCTTTTGATTTTTCTACGGCATCAGGGATAGAAGTACTTTTAGATAGAGCTCTCATAACAATTTCAGATGACATTCAGATAGAAATGCACGACTTGATACAAGAAATGGGTTGGGAAATTGTTCATCAAGAATGTATCAAAGACCCTGGAAGACGAAGTCGATTATGGAAGCATGAGGAAGTGCATGATGTCTTGAAACAAAACAAGGTAAATGATATACACAATTGCTTCTATTTGATAATACATGTGTCTTTTAAGAATGTAACTAGTGATAGTCATTACTAATGATTATTCTAATTTTTGTTTGTTAGGGAACTGAAGTTGTTGAAGGCTTAATTTTGGATTTGTCTAAATTAACTGGGGATCTATATTTAAGCTCTGATTTTCTTGCACAGATGAATAACGTGAGATTTCTTAAAATCCATAGTTGGTGTAGGTTTACCATATTTAATGTGTGCCTCCCTAAAGGTCTTGACTCATTGTCTTATAAATTGAGATACCTTCACTGGGATGGATTTTGTCTTGAGTCACTGCCATCTAAGTTTCGTGCTGAAGAACTTGTAGAGATTTGCATGCGTTGTAGCAAGCTTAAAAAGCTTTGGGATGGGATTCAGGTACAAATGTGGTTATACATAATATTTTTTTTTTTTTCCATTTTGTAATGATAATTAGTCTTGTGCTACATTAAGTGAAGCTCACTCGCTAGAGTCAATCCATTGATGATGTGAAGGTTTTTCTCTTTGTTAAGACTTAATAACAATTTCTAAACAAGTCAATGCATATTTCATATTGCAGAATCTTGTGAATTTAAAGACAATTGACCTTTGGGGGTCCCGAGACCTGATTGAGATACCGGACTTATCTAAGGCACAAAAACTTGAAAGTGTTTCTCTTTGTTATTGTGAAAGCTTGTGCCAACTCCAAGTTCATTCAAAATCTCTTGCTTTACTGAACCTATATGGTTGTTCATCACTTAGGGAATTCTCAGTGACATCAGAGGAATTGACAGAATTGAACTTAGCTTTCACAGCTATATCTGCATTGCCATCATCAATTTGGCATAAAAGGAAACTTAGATCTCTTTATCTAAGAGGTTGTCACAATCTTGACAAGTTATCAGATGAACCAAGAATAAGAATATGTGGTTCTTACAAGCACTCCTTGACAACATTGGCCTCTAACATTGAGAGATTGCTCATGAACATCAAAACCCTTTCAACATTGACAATGCTTTGGTTAGATGATTGTAGGAAACTCGTGTCTTTGCCGAAGCTTCCACCATCCCTTGAAAAGTTGAGTGCATGTAACTGCATTTCTCTGGATACAGATATCACTCAACGACTAGTGTTACAACACATGTTACAAAGTCGCATACCATACTTACGAAGACACTATCTCAACTGTTATGACGAAGAATATTTCTTCCCAGGAGATCATGTGACCAAAGAGTGTGTGTTTCGCACAACAGAGAGTTCAATAACTATTCATTATCTCCCAACACTTGAATTGTGTGGTTTCATTTATTGCATCGTTCTTTCAAGGGGACCACTCTTGGATTGTGATGTTTCGTGTTCGGTTTATCAAGATGGCATAAGGGTTGGCTGGATCCAAAGGTTGTTGGAGTACGAAATTTTAATTTCAGATCACGTGGTATTTTTGTATCATGACATGAGTGAATTTTACAGAACAAGTGAAGTGTATGATGATTTCAGCAACATGACATTTATATTTGGAGACAATGCAGAGAGCATAAAAGAGTATGGTGTCTTCCCAGTATATGCCTCTGAGTCAGGGTTAAAGGTGTTTGGTAGTAGCAACATGGAAATTTTTGAATATTTGAAATGAGTCACAACCAAAACAATCGGAGTTGGAATTGGAGGATTTCACCATAAATGATAATTGCCTGTGATTACTTCATTGGTACAAAACTTCACCCATTCCTTGATTGTAGGCTCTTCGTTTGTTGGTTTTTTTTTAATGAAATTAGTCCTTCAAATATAGAAACTATCAGTTGGAAATACCTCTGATTCTAGATAAAGCCTAGTTTTTCGCAATAAGATTATGATATAATTAATAATTATGTTGAACAAGTTTTCTTTCGAAAGAATATTGATGGGGAATGAGCACTTGTTTGTTCATAGAACCAAAGCAGTGCTAAAAATCATTATTGTTTTGTCGATCATTTTCATGCTTTGATTATGCATTTATTTAAATAACTAGATATAGACATGTCTGGTGTTGGTGGTGCTGATAAAAAGATAAATTATTTAAATTTCAGGTGATCGAAAATTTTGTTGAAATATATTATTTTATTAATTAATGTGATAGTTCTAAATGTGATTATTTTTTCATAAGCCAACAAAATTGAAGAGAGTATGAAGGGTATTTCAAGTACAACCACATAACGAAGCTGATAGGATTTCAATATCTTTTATGCATAGCTTGATTTCTCGGTAGTGTTGTTGTTGGACTTTATAGTTCTCACTTGATTTAGCATAGTAGTTTGATTAAGGGGGAGAAGTTGAAGAAATTAAATTTGGATGCTGCCTTAATTTGCAAGTTTTCTAGTCATTTTTATTACATCATAATAGAATTATTTTTATTCTGAGGATTGTTGTCATTAATGGGATTGTGGATCTTGTTAAATTGTTCTCATTGTCTTGGATCATTTCTAAAGAAGGTGGTCTATTTCTTTGTGTGATTGGTCCTTTTACCCTTTCAGGTATGGAAAACTTACTTAAGAATACTAGACTGAAAAGATGTTTATTTAAGGTTTCTTGTTTATAAGCGACTCCTTTTAATCAACTTGTTTTTTTAATAAAAAGTTGCTCAATACAATAAAAAGAACTAGTACAAGTTAAAATTCATGTTTTATCTAACATGTTTCGAATCACATGATAGGTCAATGTTACTATGTTTTGAGTCTGCTAAAGATTGTTTGCTACATGCAAACTTAGTGTTGAGAGAAAAGAGCATTCTAACTGGAGTTGCCGAAAGGAAAGCCAATCAACATAAAGCAAAATGTAGGAATGAATTCATCCAAATGGGTATGGTATTGTTTCAACAGTATACTTCCTATCTTATAGTTTAGACTTATCCTTGATGGAACCTAATTATTATGATAATTATATTCATTCAAATTATAGGATTATATAATATTAATGTTAACCTTTCTGTCTTCTTTGATCATGGTTGGTACTTTGACGAATACAGGTAAACTTTCTAAGCACTACTCAGAATATATGCTTGTAAGTGATGTCGATATGGCTTGCTCATTTTCATAACTTAAAATTAAGTTTATTTTCTTGTCGAAATGGATGGTCTGTAGAATTTATTTATTTTTTTTTTTTTCTCAGAAGCTTTAGCAACATTTATGCAATAAGGATTCTGGTGGTGCTTTCTAATTATGTCTCTTGCTTTTGTGTAGATCTATATAAGTAACATTTTAATGTTGAAACTCTAGTTTTGAGGGGTTGGGATTTTAAGTCAACATACTACTGGGCAAGATGGTTGTCTCTGATTCTTGAGTTTTTTCTTCTGTTTGAATTTTTAATTTTTTGTAATCAAAACTCTCTAGAATTTTACATGGAGATTTTCTTGCTAGTGTTTTTTTTTTAAACCCGTAGGAAATTTTCTATAGACTTTGATTTTGCATAGATATTATTAAGTTGTGAATTTTAAATTGACAAAATAAAAAACTTAAATATGTTTTTAGTCCTTATAAAATATATGATTTTGATTTTGGTCCTTCTAAAATTTTTTCTTTATTTTTCATCTTTCTAAAATTTATGAACATTGTTTTTATCCTTATAAAATAAGCAAATTTTGATTTGATCCTTGTAAAATATTTTTTTTTAGTTTTCATCCCTCTAAACTTTAAACTAACTATTTCTAATCCTTAATGATCATTTTAAGGTAGATAAATAACATTTATTTTAAAGATTTGTAAATTTTTTTTAGAGATGTTAAACAATAATATAATATCAATAATAGTTGTGAATAACACTTAAGATAGTTACTTAACTTTTTAATAAATAAAAAATAATTAAAAAATAATTACATAAAAATAGAAACTAAAAACAACAATTTTAATTTTATAAGGATAAAAAAAATTAAAAAAAATTACAAGAACTAAAATTAAAATTTTCTAATTTTATATGGGCCAAAAATATATTTAAGGCAAAACAAATTATGCCAAAAAAAAAAGTCCTTAAGAAATCTTGTAAGTAACTGCTGTAGGTAACTTTGTTGCGTGTTTTAAATCCGCAGCAATTTCGCTAGTAAATCCATCAGATCAATTTTTAAATATGTTAATATATTTATATAATTTTATTGTGTTTTTCACTTTGTTGTAAATAAAATTATTAATATTCTTTAAAGAACAATATTTTAATCATGAGGTATTACTAAAATTATAAACTATTATCATTATACGAATAAATTGCATGTTTTCCGCCTTCATTTGTAGTTAGATTAAATAGGGTTCACAATATTCTTGACTTTTTTTTTAATATATCAATTTTATTTATTTATTTAAATAACCTGGACCGGTTATTATTTACCCAAATAACCCACTTTAAAGTGCAAGTGAGAAATTGGTTATTGGGTAACCGATTTCTCACTTGGGCTTTTTTTTCTCTCATATTTTTGGGGCTTTTTTTTCATATTTGTTATTTTTTTTCCTTTTTCAGTTTTTAATATTCATATTTTAAAAAAAATGTAATGAATTTTTAAAAATTTTATTTAGTTTTTTTTTAGATTATAAAAATCTATTTAATATTTAAATAAAATAATTTTAAAAGAATAAAATTTAATAAAATTAATATTAAATAGAATTTTAAATAAATGAAAATATTATTATAAATCACAACTTTAAATAAAAACAACTTTAATTGAGATGAACAACTTTAAATAAAAATAAAATAATAACAATAAAATAGGAGATCGAATAAAAAAGAACAACAACAAAATTACAATCCACGAAATTAAAATCCAACTTTAATGATGTTTATGCCCAGTAGTTCCACACCTCGGAGGTTGTCGGTTCCTTGTTGGGTTTCGACGATTAATGCGTGGTTGTTGTGGTTCAACTTGCTCTTCATCATGTTCTATATTAACAGTATCGATGGCTGGATTTGACGAACCACTTCCACCGACCTTAGAGTGATAAGAAGAAAATGAAGGAAAATTCATGCTTTGCATGTAATTATATGCACTTTGTGGCCTGTGTACGTCGATGCCAAAAAGATTGCTCATGAAGTCTCCTATTGGAGTTGTTGTTGATGGTAGGTGTACATGAATTGTTCATGGTGCGTATGAAATGATGGATTAGACTAGGGATGATGTTCCACACTATAAGGTGGGTGGTTATCTCCAGCTACTAGGAATGTTGTTCCTATAGTTGTTGGGAGTTGTGTACTATAAGTGGATGCATGAGATGAAGAATTAGCACGAAACCATTGCAAATACTCAAGAGTGTGTTGGAGAGGCCCCTGAAGTAGTTCCCCAAAAATAACATGTTTGTGTCTGTCTTTCCAAATGGAAATCCAGTCTGCATGTTATTCAGACTTGTTGGTGTTGCTATGTCCTCTCATGTCTATTTTGTGTATTTTATCAAGATTATAAGCTTCATTAGGGATTGGTAGCCATAAGCCAAATTGCAATTGGACTCTGTCAATTTGATGCCAGACTACAATTGCAAATGAAGTTAAAGCAGTACAAGAAGTTCATATTCTAGAATCCTTATAAGCACGTGTTGGCAGTGGGGACTGAAATTCCCTATATGGCATCCATAGAAATTGAAGAAAAAAAAGGTTTAGGGTATGAATCAATTGAGTATAAGAGAGTATGTTTGAGATAATTTTACATTGTATTACCTCGTTATGGTTCATGTTGTCATATCTTAATCTGTAGCCAAGTAAGTCTCCATGGGGCGTGCCTGTAAATCTTAGCCCTCTTCCTGACTCCTAAAACATTTGTACATTGATAAAATTTTAGGTAAAAAATTTTAGTTGTTCGATGTATTAAAGTGGTATAAAAATTAATCCATACATTACAAGAAAAATGATAAATTACGACGGATAAATTGCGACGGTTATCTAGAAACCGTCGTCGCTTTGATATTGCGACCCTTCATACGACAGTTTTTCAAAACCATCGCAAAATTGTTCAATATTGCGATGGTTTATCATAAACCGTCCCAAAATTTGTTTAACATTGTGACGGTTTATTGTAAACCGTCGCAAAATTTGTTTAAAATTGCGACGGTTTATCATAAACCGTCGCAAAATTGTTCAACATTGCGACGATTTATCGTAAACCGTCGCAAAATTTGTTTAACATTGCGACAGTTAATCATAAACCGTCGCAATTTTTTTTAACATTGCGACAGTTAGCCATAAACCGTCGCAAAATTTTCAGCATTGCGACAGATTACTATAAACCGTCGCAATCTACAAGACAATTTTTTTTATGTTATTGAATCTGGGTCGTTGGATGATCCAGATCGAACGGTTGCGGCTTCGGGGTGTCTTTTCACCTCCCCCTTTTACCTTGCCTATAAATAGGGGGGTGTTTGAGAATTTACTTGCTGTAAATTCTCCAAGGTCTCTGAGTTCACACGTTTATCCGAGCTAACCGATCAAAGGTACAATTTTGTATTTTTTATTTCCTAGTAATAAATGGATAGGGGCTATTCCTCGGCAAGGAGCTGGACGTCATCGGAGGTGTCGGGTGCCTCGTCTGATAAAGATGGGTCGGGTGCGAGTGAGATATCGAGGTTGCCTTCGCTGCAGTGTGAAGTGGTATTTCCCTCCGATCGTGCCGAGCAGGAGGATAGCGGGGATGAGGTGGTCGAAATATCGCCCCCGGTTACTTTGGCCGTGACTTTGGCTCGAGCTACCGAGGTGGATGCCAGAGGCTCAGGCCGTGCCGACCAACAACCTGTTCATGCCGAAGGCAGTGGAGATGAGTTGGAGATGTACGACGATAATCGGGGCAAAGGCGTGGTTGGACCGAGCACTCGAACGAGGGCGAAGATTGAATACGGCACCGTGGAGATGCCCGGATATGAATGGGTGGACGGGGAGGTCGGCATATACTTCTTGTCTCTCTCGGACCAAGGGTTATTAGACACCTTCGTGTCTTTGGAGAAGTGTTTCGGGAGTGGCGAAGATGACTTTCCATTGCTTGCCGAGGCGTGCGAGGATGATGGGCCGAACACCGATTTTGTATTCATGGAGTCGGAGCCCGATGAAGACGACTACTTTTATGCCTACATGTGCTGGTTCAAGGACCTTGGGATAAAGCTCTCGTTTGATGACTTTTAGATGGGAGTTCTCCGGGTACTGAAAATGGCGCCGACCCAGCTACATCCGAACGCCTGGGCAGCTATGTAAGCGTTCTGGAATTTATGCTTGTGCCTAGGCCTTACACCCCGACCACTAGCTTTTTTGTATTATTATATATGTCGTCCGAGCAAGCCGGTGAAGTGGGTCTCGCTAGCCCGAGTGCCGAAACGTGGGTTTCTCCGAGCCTTCACCTCCTCTTACAAGGGGTTTAAAAGTGGGTTCTTCAAGGTTCGTTGGGGGCCGGAAATGAGGCCCTGTTTTTTTGACCGAGAAGACTCTCCTCTATTCCCTTTCTATTGGACGAGGCGGCCGACGCATTTCAAGGCGATATCCTCATCAAAGCTCCCTGCCGAGGACAAAGAGATTGTGGATCTCCTAGACAAGTTGCCGAAGGGTTTGCCTGTCCGAGGCCTCTTGGACATTTTTGAAACATCTCACTTTGAGATGGCTTTGCTAGGTATGTGTGTTAGGCTTCGGTTGTTTAATCAGTTTTAAATTGATGTTAAGATTTGTTTTGTTGCAGGTTTAATGGCCGGAGGCAACTTAGATGTGACTGCCATGCTCGCCAAGAGGGCGAAAGATGCAAAAGCCAGTGGGAAGGTGCCACCGACAAGGT